CCTTCTTACTTTTCCAGGACAAATTGACTTATTTACAGTTTCTTTGTACTCATTCCTGTTTAGACAGGTAGAGACGGTATATAGGTAATTAATGGCACAAAATACGTATACATAAGTTCTCTCATACACATTAAGATTAACTAAAATAAACCATACTTTATTCTATTCACCCTTCAATTGTATTAAAATAAATACAATTAGAATTTGGTGCACTTTACCTTAGTCTTCTGAGTATCATAAAGAATTCATCGCATTTTACAAACAATTATTTCAATACCCTGTATTACCATTACTGTTGCTGCTATTGTTATTATTGATTCATAAATTGTTATAACTTGCTTCCTTGTCCTCTTAGCACAAGCACTGATATTCTTAAAATCATCCTTGTTCTGGTCATAAGACATTCTAAGCTAATCCTGACTTTCCTCTGTGCCTAAGATAAATGAACCAGGCTTCTCTAAACAGTCCTGGTTCTATTTAGAGTGGAGAACAGTGTCAGAGAGAAAAACATGAGTCCTGGAAGTAAGTGTTGGCTCTGGCTTATTGGCTCAACTTTTGTGTCAGAATTGGGAAAAATATGTATTAAGAGAATTCTTCTTCATTTACAAATTATATTGCAGTCCCTGTTCTTCATATGGTGTGTGAAGGTCTCATTTTCCATCAAAGTGTTCCGTTATAGTGCAATATTTCTATATAGTACTTAAAACTGTGAGGGCATACCTCTGGCTGCAGCTGTGGGCCATTAGTCTGGTGAGATTAGACTTCCTGGAGAAAGGTATTGCCGCAGGTGCCAGGTATACTCTGTGGGTGCAATATTGCACCAGGTGCTAAGAGCAGAGTGACATATGAAACATGGCCCCTGACCTCCGGAAATGTACAGAAATCAAGGGTGTGCCTGAAACAATGAGAGAAGCACACAGCCATCGATGGACTAGTGCTTGCTGAAACCCACGGTGCAGGCAGGGGTGGTGGAGGAGCTCGGGGAAGTGAGAGATGAGGGTGTGAGCAGGAGTCATCTCTGGAGCAGGAGGGCTTGAGTCATCTTGAGTATGGCTGACTTTTAGATAGATGCCAAGATGCATCCTTATAACTGGAAATTACCCATGTGCAGACCTCAGCAGCCTGTGGAACCAGGGGTATTACGTGTGTGTGACTGCGGGCAAAGGAATGAAACTAGAGACCCTGGCTTGTGGTGGATTCAACTCAGTACCTGAGAACTAGAGAATATAGGATGCTGGCTGTGTTTCTGGAATGATAGTGAGAAAGACCATAATACCAAGGCCAGGATCCTGTTCCAAGCAGTTAATAGAAGGAAATAACTTAGAATGCATTAGAAGTCTAGAGATCCTTGTAACTAAACCCTTTCAATGCTCTTAGAAACAGCAGAAAGCCATTGATATCTTGTTTCTGGTCTGGCTGCCCCCCTCCTACTCTATGTACCACCAAACACTTCTGTACCTAACTGCTGGATTGCCAGCAATGTATACCTGCCTGGGAAAGTCCTAACACTACTGTCACCTGCTCATGCTTTTCCTAACCAACTCCTCCCAGTTCTTCTAAAAGAACTGATTTCTTTTTGGTGTTCTCATAGTATCTCATAAGAAACCTCTGTTATATGTTCAATCTCACATATTATTGTTGCCTCTTGTCTGCTTTTCCATAGTCAGTAATATCTTAGGTGTGTCTTACTCTCATCTGATCCAAGTGCTGAAACACAACAGTTGACGTTCACTGTATATTCAACAGGTATTTGTGGGGTGAATGAATTAAAGACGAGTGAATGAATGAGCGGATACCCAAATCCATGCCTGAGGATAATTCCCAGATGACTCAATGGCCACATGGGTTTGGTGTTAGCTTTGGATTTGGTAGTTCCTTGCTCTTTACTTTGATGAAACACTATTATCTAGGACTGTGTTTTATATGGATTAGATTTGCAAGACTAATAAGTAAAATGTCATCCCTAAATTCACAGAACAGATCTTAGTTTCTCTTGGTTTCAGGTGTAATATTTCTAGCTAAGCCTTGTTTTGATAAGCAGAGAGAGACTTAGGAACCAGCAGCAAATCATTTGATTTAATATGTCAAGCCAGGATTTGACAACCGCTTAAAGGTTATAACTTGGAGATTTAGAGACTTGATGATTAGGCTATTCTAGGGACAAAATCTTTCAGTGTTTACTAAAGCTCTTTGATTTAAGATGTTTTCCAAATCTGATCTGAACTGAGGCAGTGTGTATTCACAGAAGTTTGCAACTGAAAACAGCAATTCAGAGGTATCATATTTGCCTCCAGGATTTTAGTAGTTCTTGAGTGATTTATATATTTGGTTGTATCACATTATATCTCCATGGATAGAATGTCTTTGGACAGAATTTGAGGTTATTGGTAATAGAGCAACTATCTTTTGGGGTTTTCTAGGGGACCCAGTAAAACATCCCTTCTCACCATCTGTTTATGGACATTCTTTTTAGATCTGAAAAAACCTTCGCCATTATTTTTGTTGATAAAGTCATTTTGGTCTTTTTGTTATATATTTTTGGGGATGTTAAAGAGGTGACCTGCAAAGTTCTATGGCTCAGGAGCCAAAATCATTAGAAAACAAAAAGAATCATGGCCATTTAAAGAGGCACAAATTCCCTATAGAAGCTTTCAGAGAATGAGATTATTCATTCATTGTTTTTTTTTCCATTTATACTATTTTTCTACCTATGTTTTAAAAATTCAAACAGGGAAAAATGATGGTATTATACTGCTAGATTTCAAAATATACTCTATAGCCATAATAATTAAAACAGCATGATACTGGAACAAAAACAGACACACAGACCAATGGAATAGAATCGAGAGCCCAGAAGTAAAACCATACATATATGAGCAAAGAATATATGCTGGAACAGGGAAAATATCTTCAATAAATGGTGTTGGGAAATTGGATTGCCACATGCAAAAATTGAAAATAGATTACCATCTCACACCATACATGAAAATGAACTCAGAATGGATAAAAGGATGTAAGACCTGAAGCCATACAATATGTAGAAGAAAACATAGGCAAAACGCTCCATGACATAACCTTCAGAAATATCTTTGTGGATTTGTCTCCAACAGCAAGGAACACAAGGAGAATATAAGCAACTGGGAATTGATCAAACTGAGAAGCTTCTGTGAATTGAAAAAGACAGTAACCAAAATGAAGAGACCCCTCACAGAATGGGAGAAAATATTTGCACACCATACATCTGACAAGAGACTGATATTGAAGAGCTGCAAAGAGCTCATAGAACCCAACAACAACAAAAAAAGAAGCAACCCAATCCAAAAATGGACAGAAGAGCTATGTAGGCACTTCTCCAAAGAAGACATAAAGATGACTAACAGGCACATGAAAAAATGCTCATCATCACATATTATCAGGGAAATGCAAATCAAAACCACAAGCCATATTAAAAAAAAAAAACAAACCAGAAATAAGTGCTGGCAAGGGCGTGGAGAAAAGGAAACCCTCTTAGACTGGTGGTGGGAATATAGTCTGGTCCGGCCTCTATGAAAAGCAGTGTTAAGATTCCTCAAAAGAATAAAAATGGATCTGCCATGTGACCCAGTAATTCCATTCCTAGGTATCTACCCAGACAACACAATAACACCAATTTGAAAGGAAACCTGTTTATTGCAATAGCTAAGATATGGGAACAACCTAAATGCCCCCAAACAGATAAATGGATCGAGACAATGTAGTATATATACACAGTGGAATACTGCTCAGCAATCAAAAAGATAAACTCATGCCATTTGCAGCAACATGAGTGAAGCTGGAAGAGATTATGTTAAGTGAAATAAAGCAGAAGGAGAAAGATAAATACTTATGGTGTCACTTATATGTGGAATATAAAGAAACAAAACAGAGGGTCAAAGACAAGCTATAAAAACAATCCTTGAAAACTGACCATAGATCTGAGACTTCCAAGAAGGGAGGAGGAGAGAGGGATGAGACTCGGGGCAGGGGGAGGGCACAACAGACTATGGTGGAGGACTGTGGGTCCTCTGGTGGTGGGAGAGCTACCCTGTGCACACCTAAGGGAAGAAATCCTATATTATCAAAATATTAGCTAAGAGATAAAACAATGGTACTTCATTAATAAGAAAATAAAAAATAAATAACATTCAAACAATGCAAAGTGGTACAAAGAAGAAAGCAAAAACACCATTCAATATCTTACTGCCCAGAGACAAGCAACATTAGTTTTTGATGATTATCTTGGCATTTTATCATGTTTCCTTTTACTTTTTCACCATACAAATTTTTGCCTAGTTGAGATAATTCTTACGAGGAATTTGTGTGATGCTGTTTTACTCAACTTCATGCTATTAAAGGAATATTGTTAAAGGTTTTCAACTAGTTTATTGTTTTCTCCTATAGATATATTCCTCCTCTATTGCTTGTTATTTGGGCTGTTTCCACTTTATTTTTTGCAATTCTACAGCATGTTAAAATGGCATCCCTATAGGTAAATCTCGGTCCACAGTTGATTGAGAGACATGACTAACTTTAATACAATTGATTTAAACAGTTATATTTCTTCCACAGGAAAAAAAGTCACAACAATATATAGCCCAACCAAAGACACAGGAGTCAAATCAATATGAGAAAATAGTTGTATTTATTTATTATTATGTCAGGATACATCTGTGACACAGACCAAGTTGTCTCATTGCTGGTAACACTATCAGTTGTGTTTAGAGCTGGGAATCTCCTCTCCTCTCCACCTGGCCAGTATCTTCCCTACTTCAGTATAGTCCCAGGGGTTTTGCTTTCCTTGAAATGAAGCCAGGACCCAAGCACTGTAAAAGCACCTTGCAGGGCCTGGCTCTCCCTGAGGTGGTCTTCCCCTTCAAAGAGAGATAGGTATGGCCAGACCACCCAGCCAGATCCATGTTTGCTTTGCAAACCAAACAAACACTTCCATTTTTGTTTTGTTTTGTGTCTGAACTAATTCTTAGCACCTCTTCTGCCTGTGGGCGTTTTGTCGCTTCCTTCTGCAAGACTGGCACCAGCAGAAATGCAATCTCAGAGAATTCCTGGGAGAAAGCGAGGCCGACCCCCACTTCACTCAACACCTATGAAGATGGCAGTTCATAATCTTTATTCTCCGTCAGCTGGCTCTTTACCAGCAGTGAAGATCCCGAAGAAAAGAGGGCGGAAGCCTGGGTACAAGGTATGGCTCCATCATCTCTCTCCAAAGTGGTACTGGGCTGGGTGCGGGTGGTCGGGCAGAACTCCTCTGCAAAATGCGATGACAAATTGGGAGCTGAGTAAAGACAGAATGAGAAATAAGTTTCTCTCAATGAAACGTGTGACAGATGAGGCTTCACTCTTACCACGTGGTTCATGATGCCTGCTGTTGCTGTCGTGGGCAGTTTTACAAGTGGAGAAGGCAAATTATACCAGATGGGCAAAGTTGGAAGCGAGCAGATTTTAGGGTCATAGCTAAACACACATTATTAAGCCTCACATCTAAATTAGTGTTCCAGGCACTGAGCTTACCCTGACTGATCCTGCCAGGGTGGCTCTAGATGCCACTTTCCAGAACTCCTTCGTCATTTATTTTAGTATAAGCGTATGATGTTCCTGAGACATTTATATGAATAACGCCAACAGACTCCTGTCAAAGGACCTAGAAGAATTTTCCCAAGCAGAGCCTCAACAAGGGCTTTAATTAATAATGAAAATTCAGGGGATTAATTAACAGTTTCCAGCTTATAAAAGGTGCTGACGTCAAGCCTGGCTACAAGGAGGCATAGCAAACAAAATTAAAATCTCCTTTTAGAATTAATGATATGGAGAGGCTGGGGTGGGGAATAAATTCTCAGATGTAACTGCAGTCCTGAACCTGAGGGAGAGCTTCTCCTTCAGATGTTTTTGAGGAGGCTACTAGTGAAAAAGGATATTACATCTGTTCTCCACAAACCTTTCCTACATTAGAAAATGAGCTTCAGAAGTTTTTCTTCATTGATTTTTCTTGAAATAAAGAGCTTATGCATCCATCTTGAGATCTGAATAATCAAACCAAAATGCAAATTGGCAATTAACTCCCATATATTTAGGAAAATGTATGGAAATTATTTCAGGTCAGCAGAAAGACAAAGCTTCCGGAAGAATCAATAATGAATTCAACCTTTAACCCTTTGGTTCTCCACAATTCTTCCAACTGCTAGAAAATAAAAATGGTAGGGGAAAGGTCACTCACAGTTATTTGGGGGTCACTGGTTTTAGTAAAAGCAGCTTTTACTCAGCTGGTAAAGTCTTCTGTCCCTGGCTATTTTTCAAACAAAGAGAGCCTCCTTTTTCTCATGGACACACCAGCCTCAGATCCTGTCTCAGAAGCTGGCACAGAGCAGGTCTCAGCTCAGCTACCTGCGCAATTGCCTGCGTCTAGGAATTGCATCTGGAAGGCTGGAGCACAGCAGCCCTTCTGTTTATAGAGCCAGGAAGCAAATCCAGAATCTGAAGAAACATTTTCTCTTCTATTTGGCCTTTCTCCTGCTCCCCTGGGAGCTGTGACCCAAGAATGAAAATTACTGACAGACACAGCATTTCTGGGGCCAGGAAAAATGGAAATTCGCTCCATGGAATGAACCCGGCGTTGCAATTTTCCTGTCTCCTAAAAAGGGCAGTTTTCAGTACTCCTAACTCAGAAACACCCCAGGGCAGGAAGAAAGCTTTTGGGGTGGTTAGACAATGACACAGTTTCTGTACAAAGCAGGCAGGTCTTTTTCTGGGGACAACACACCACAGCTCTTCCTGTGTCCACCTTCCATATAGATGGGGGGTATGTATGGGGATTATTTCAGGCTAACAGCTCCCTAAACCCTGGGATTAATGTTTGAGAAAAAAAGGCCACTCCAAGCTCCGTGCCAGTCTGCATGAAGTTCTGGCCTACTCATGATCACCTGAGAAAATGAGAAATATCTGAATGTCTTCAAGAAGCTAAAATGATTCCTCTTAAAGGATCATCTTTTATTCTGAAGTATCTGCTTCTGACTATTTTGGTGTTAAAGTTTATTTTATTTTAAAGTGCTGCCGTATGTTGTCAGAATTTGGTGTGGTATAGTGTCAGGATTTACTACTTTAAAAATGGAATTGTATGGGGACTATAACCAAGATGAAAATGCATACATTGTATAAAAATGAAAAATGATGTAAAAATATGTAAAATTAAAAAAAAATAATAATAAAAATAAAATGGATAATTTCAATAAGCTCCCCCACCTCCAAAAAAAATGTCCTTGCTTGGCAAAATGAAGTTGACAACAGTTTAAGTCTTTCTAGTTTCCTTTTAACAATTTCCGAGACCCTGAAGCCCCATTTTGCCATTAATGAAAGGGTTTTAATTGTGGAGAAGCCAGTGAGGAAATGGTACAGTTTCATCCCATTTACCAAATGGCCAATAATTTTGGAAATTTCAACTATCTAGGACACAGTTGGGGAGCCTGAAGTTGTTAAAAATCCTGAGCAAGTGAAATAAGATATTATTTGGTCCACCCTTAAAGATCTTGTACTTTTTTTAACTAAGAAAATGCTTCCAAGCCCTGCCTCAGAGTCTACTTATCTTTATTGTATATGCTTCTCTTATAAACTCCATTATAGCAGTTTGCCTTAAATTTGAAAATGAAGATATTTGAGAAGTCTGACCACACTGCTGGACATGAGACAATAAAAATTATTGTTACAACTCTATAATAGTATATTAACAACACAGAGCAATAAAATATGCAAAAATATTATAAATATTACAAAATAATAAATAACAATATATATTTGTGTTTTTTTAAAGAATTATTTATTTATACAAGAACTGGGGTACAGGCCAGAGGCGCAGGAGGGTGAGAGAATTCACCAGAGACAGAGTGGGGAGCAGAACAGGCAGATTGAAATACACTGCTGAGGGGAGCAGTGGGTGAGACAGGAGAGGTCTGCTGCACCACGTGGGTAGCTCCCTGATCAGCCGGGAATCGAATCCACGCTGCAGAGGCTGCGGACAACTCATAGTGCTGAGCGCAACACGCTGTGCCACTGGGGATGCCCCAATATGAATTTGTTGTATCAATAATAGTACTATGATTTATGTATATGAGCAATGTTACCATAATAAAATAACTGTTTGAGCCTTGGTAGGGTCTTTCTTTGAAGGTTCTGAGGATTCTGGGTCGTGCTGGCTGCATCACTGTCTATGCTGATTGACCTCTGTCACTTCTTGCCTGGTACTGCTGCTCTATTTGTCACCCCTGTGCCCCTGCACACATGGAAACTCTGTGCTACCCACGTGGTGCAGCAGACCTCTCCTGTCTCACCCACTGTTCCCCTCAGCAGTGTTTTCAGTCCATCTGCCTGTTCTGCTCCCCACTCTGTCTCTGGTGAATTCTCTCACCCTCCTGCGCCTCTGGCCTGTACCCCAGTTCTTCCAAGTATGGACACAGCCTCTCCTGTAAACGCCCAAGTACAACGATCACAAGTTGTGACACTTAACCCCTTCTCAGAGTCTTGAGATAGCATGGATGAATTATAGGCAAAAAAGAGCTCAACAGGCAGTCAGATATCAGTGCTCCTGAGTTCAAAGGCAATGCCCTCTCCAGGCTATTTGTCCTATCTCCACTCCAGCTTTCAGCCCCACTGTGGGGACATGTCACTGCTGTGAGAGCATCACATTGCATGGCCTTACCTCCCCTACTCCCCAGTCAGAGGATACAAGAGCCTTTGTTAACATCCTATTGTCTATGAAGAGCCATCCCAGGCTACCTTGAAACCAGTCTTCTTTATTATTAAAAAGAGCATTGAAATCTCAATTTGAATCAACCGTTGGTTCAGCTCCTTAGTTCAGAAACTCTCAAAGGTCAACAGGTAGATTTTCCTGGTATTTCATGACTAAGGCAGGGGCCTTTTTAAATAGATAAAGAGAGGATCAGGGCCTCCAGGTGGCGCAGCAGTTGAGCGCTGGGTTGCAAAGCTGCCCACAGCCTCTGCGGCGCCGGTTCGATCCCCGGCTGCTCCCCGTCCACCGGAGGAGGGTCCCACATGGCGCGCAGACCTCTCCTGCCGCCCACTGCTCCCCTCAGCAGTGTACTTCGGTCCTTCTGCCTGCTCTGCTCTGCTCCCTGCTCTGGCTCTGGTGAATTCTCTCACCCTCCCGCGCTTCTGACTATACCCAGTGCATGTATAAACAAACAAACAAGTAAATAAATAAATAAATAAATAAATAAATAAATAAATAAATAAATAAATAAAACATGCCTCTATTTAAAAAAAAAAAAAAAGAGGATCAGCACCAAGGAGAAACCCAAGCTTCTTTTCTGTAGGTGCAGCTGTTTCTAATGTCTCCAAATAGTGGGAACTCCAGCTCCCATGTCTTTGTTGTTGAGATCATGATTTAAACAGAAAGAAGAGAGTAGTGAAATTTTAAAGTAGCATTCATACCCAATATATAATAATAGTAAATACCAATAGAAATAATAGCATAACATTTATTGAGTGCTTCTATTTTTGAGGCTCTGGGCCAATGTAGTATGTATGTATTTTCTTATTTGATCCTTAATAGTTTGATACTGAAGGGAGTCAGAAAAACTGCAGGAATTAGGCATGAACTAACCAAGCCCCACAGCCTAGCATCACCAACTATCAGGCCAGCAGACTTCTTCTCGTTAGTTATCTCTTTGTATTACTGTTCAGAATAGTGATTATGCTTCCTGATGCAAAAAAGAGTAAATTACCTTTTGTGTGCTCTGTTTAATGAGTTAGGAAAAGTATAAGCATATTCTAGGAAGAATAGCATCCCTGAAATATCCAAAACAAATGGTTAAAGTGTCTTTAAATGTTGGTGATTATATCATTCAGGTCATAAATTCAGCTTCTGTAAAGGCCAAAAAATAATGGCTTAAAGAAGATAGAGGCTACTTTCTCTCTCATGGTGGTCTTGGAGGCCTGCCTGAAGCTGCTATAATGGCTATGGTACTTGGGACCAGGTTCCTTCTCTGTTGTTGCTCTGCTACCTTCACACACAGTCGTCTTCACCGCATGCTCTAAAATGGCCCCTCCAGTTCCCACTGCCCCAGTAGTCCAGTCAGCAGAATGGAGACAGAGATAATGGAGGACATGTCTTCTCCTTTGAGGGTCCAGTCCTTAAAGGATTCTCATTGCTTCAATTCTTGTTTAAGGCCTCTT